TCCAAAGATCAAAATATCGCTCTCCAACACAGTCATGTCCACACTGTTCGGCGTGAAGGCTCCTGCCGCGAGTTGTCATTCCGCGAGAACGAAAACTCCTGACAGACAAGCGACGCGTGCACAATTTTGAGTGACACGCAAAGCACGTCCATGCCCTAAAGAACTGGATGAGCTTCACTACAGGCCTTTTAACTATGAGTGTTAACACGTGATCTATTGTACATGTATAACACAAGCTTCCAGTAACATAAAAGAGATGTCAGTAAATGTAGATGAAATAACATTGGGAAATGAAGGGACATTTTTATTCATTAAATTTAAATCTAAAAGCCTCAACAAAATGGTCCTAGAGAAATCGGCAGTCGTATAGATAAAATGGAATATGCCAGCCAGCAGGAAATACAGAAGACGGTAAAAAAATCATATCAGCTCATACGCTAGATGCCACCTCTTCATCACAGATAAACAATTAATGAATTTGTCGCTCACGAGAGCATGGCACGTGATGCGGAATCTAACTCATCGTAATAAGATGTACAAATTAATTAGGTTAAGTGATAATAGTCTCGATATTTGTAATGATTAAGATATTTTTATTGCACTGAAATTTAATTGAAACCGATTGATAATCTTAGCGGAAATTTCTTGGAAAATATACTTTTGAAAGCAATTAAGATAGGGCTCAAGAGTAATTTTATGAATATCAATCACTCCAAGCTGATAAATAGCTTCAGTTAATTTTTTTTTATATTGGACAGTTTCACTGTTTTGCAATTCACGAATTAAAATGAATTGTGCAAACTTATTGTCGTTAATTTTGATATTGCTGACAAAATTTCACGAATTTCTGAAAGTCACACGATTTGTGGGCGACACTTGTGTTCGAACATTCTCATAGCAAGCATGAAAGCAATCGAACTATAATTGCGAGAATTTATAAAAATTTAAATTCTCGAAATAATATAAAGGGTTCTTTGTTCGTTGGTGATATCAAATTACTTTGATTATAAAATTTCTGTTATTAATTCTTAAAATTTTTCTTCTATTATATGATTATTTTAAAACAAGGCTACCCGTAAGTTAGTGCAACTGGTGGTTGGAAGCGTCGCATAGCTTTTGGCATCAGGTAACATTTCACTGCAATTCAATTTTTCACGTGGAATAAATTTAATGCTGGTTTTTGAACCCATTCCAAGAATAATGAATTCCTGTTTACAAAACAAAAAGCATCGCAATTACTCTATACGGAATAGCCGACCGCATTTAAAGTTAACCTCTGTTTAATGACACATTTCTCAGTGAGAGACCGACATGAATGCATAGCTTCTGTCGAACGGTATAAAAAATCCACAACGGCTAGTCTCGTTGGAGGTTTCCTTCCTAACACACTGGCGAGTTAGGCGAGCCGCTATTGACGGTGTAATTTTTTTCACATAAGTTAAAAGAGGGTGGGTTTCATAATATTAATTGCAACGTCAATACATTTAATGTGCTTTCTAACCTCAAAGAACCGAACAAGATTCAATTCTTCCATAAAAAACTATTTCAGAGTATGCAAATTTTCACTGCTTTCTGATATAAAAATTGATACTAGCAGAAGATGTTCATGCTGCACTGCCATTCGTCTTTACTATGTTCAAATCATCAATGTTCAAAGTAAACCCGGAACTGGCTATGTCAGAAAAAAAAACATTCAATATGTTGTTCTCAACCGGTATTCATTTGTTCTTGGAGTGAACGGATTTGTTTGTTATGCAATCATGCGACCCGCGTTTGCTATTTGTGGTCCCTTGCACATCGGAGTGAAGTGAAAAAAGGGTAGAAACAATGATGCTGCTTTAGGCCGACTTTTAAGTTACTATATAAATTCTAATACTATTCGTATCGACACTGCACAACGACATATAAAGGGAGTCAAACATCAGTTACTTTGTGATTCCTTTATTAGATTTGCACACAGTGATATTTTTTAGAAATCAAAACAATCTTCGTAATGTTAGTATCAGCTTAGCCTAAGCATTGCGAGGACATTAAAAATATATCTGGTGCTGGTCAATTCTTCTTGATGAAGCCCATAATGGAAAATATTTCCTGTCAAAATTTAAATAGCATGAATAATAACAGAGCCATGAGCCATCATTGTAATTGTATGCAAATTTAAAACCAGGAACTTGATTGCGTACTATCAGCATGTTCTGAGTGAAACAATCACCTAAAATTATGAATAACTTCCAGAAAATCGTCGGCGCAAGAAATAAAAGTAAACCACATTTATTTTGAATCTCATTTTGACTTGAAATTTGGAAAATCAAACTTTCTTAGGGTATTTAGGATCAATACTAATGTTGGGTGCGTAATAAATAACTTCATATAAATCTGCTAATATGTCAAAATCAGCTAGGTTGTTTAAATATTTTAATACACCGTTATAATTAAAGTTATATGCTAAAAATTAATAACATTACCAATTCGGATCAACGTTGCTTTTTAGCCACTGACTTTATGTCTTTATTTTATGCGAAATATAGAAGTTGAAATTTCGTCATAATTGCATCCACAAAAGCAATAATAATCGATTCAAAATTAAATTCATTCACCAGAGTTCATTTCGATATACCCCAATCAAATTTCAAGACTCTTCTGAATTAAGTTTGCTTTTTGTTGAACATCATGAGCTGTTTTGAACAGTCTTTCAAACAGTGGTAATTAGTAGAGTTTTTACTATGCACTGCAGGTTATTTTTAAAATTGAACAACGCACTGCAGGTTATCTTTGAAGTCAAACAATGCACTGCAGGTTATTTGTGACGTTAAACCAAGCACGTCAGATTATACGTTAAAGTTAATTAATGCACTTCAGGTTATTCATTAATTTGAAAAAATTACTGCGGGTTAGTTGTGAAGTTAAACACTGAACTGCATATTATTCGTGAAGTTAAACAATGTCATGCAGGTTATTTGTGAAGGTAAAAAATGCATTGCAAGTTGTTTGTGAAGCTAAACAATGCACTGTAGGTCATTTGTAAAGATAAACATTCACTGGCTGTTATATGTTTGGTTTAAGCAATGCACTGCGGGTGATTTTTGCAGTTTAAACAATGAACTGCATGTATTTGTGCAGTTAAACAATGCACAACTGGTAATTTGAGCAATTTAAACTGTGCAGTGCAGGACACTTACAGCGAGAAATTCTAAATTTCTCATCGGTTATTTCTATAATTTCACTGATAAGTATTCTTTCCAAACAAACTCCGATAATAATAAAAGTGATCTCAAATGATTTATTTCCGGCGCAGCGCGGTTGCCCTTTTTTCAGCATTTGCGGATAAATCAGTGTACGAAACTGGGCGAGCAAGCTCCAGAGAGAGTTCTGTTCTAACCGTTGAGGCAGGAGGTTGTTTGTGCTGAGCTCCCGTGACAGTAGTCGGCTTCGGCCGGCTGCTACGTCATCTTTCTGGAACTATCCTCCTCAAACTTTGAAAATGATTTTTTTCAAGACACCCAATATTGTACCTTAAAACAAAATTCAGTCAAATTCCTTGAACGGTTCTGACGTGGGGCCGCATTGAACAAGTCTTCAGAGGCTCCCATAAATTCCAACTAAAGAAAAAAGAAAGAAAAGAAGCTCCAGAGATACTTTCATAAGCTGTTCCGAGCGGTGGTCGTCACTCTGTGCTACATTAGAACTACAGTTTTGAGCTGTCATCTAACCAGTATCTCCCCAGTAGCATCATAATCATCATTCATTAAGTATTTCTCAAACTTCCTATAAACCTGATTCGCAGTCTCTTATTTTGTGCGAATGCCGTGCCATTTTCCTTTTGATTGGTTTGCATTAACTATGCTCATTTTTGCTCCTGTGGGAAGTTGGACACATTTTCAAGTGTATAGTTTTAAGCAAATTTATATAGAATTCCTATCAAATTAATATCTAATATATTTAAAATCTATAGCACAGTTTCTTAAGTTTATTTCAAATATATATTAAATTTATTTTAATAAAATCTATATCAATTTAGATCAAAGTTGTCATATATATGGTATGTTATATTTATATTAAATTACTGTAAATATTTTAAATTATTTCAAAGTTTAATCAAATTATTTTATATATCAATAATTCAATTTTTCCAGAAATGGAAAAACGTTCCAATTTACGATGGTAGTTGGTTATACTGCTTCGGAATGTGCCATCCTAAGTTAAGTCTTTCATCTTCTTTCAACACGCAGTGAAACCTTTAGCTATTCTTGCTGTCTTCTTCCGTCCAACTTCACACTCTTCTAACTGATTTCCTCAAAATTCCTACTATTAATTAAACTCTTCATTCATTCCATATTCATGTAGTCGTAACACTGGGTAATCAAAACCTTAGAATTTCAAACTTGATCTTCCAACTTTCAGTTGGAAAATTTCAAATTGATGTGCCTTAAATTGCCTTTTATTATTTTTACTGCCAAATCCTGTATGAACCTGACCAAGATGATACTTTCTTTCTAGTATCCACATTCCTCAAGTTTCGGGTCCAGGGCCCATACTTTCAAAAAAAGTTAAGAGATCGTAAGTCCGTCAGCCAATCATTGATGGCCTTTTAAGCAAAATCCACCAATCATTGATAAGAAAATAGAGCGTAAGTTCTTACGTTGACTTAGCGAATTTTGAAAGTATGGCCCCAGAGTGCTGTATAGATGCGCCTTCCCCCTAGCATACGTTATTTCTTTTACGTCACGTCTACGTTGTCTGGCGTCACGACTACGTCGCAGCGCTAAGGAAACCACTCCTGACTCCTGGAGCCCTTTAAACTTAGACACGCTCGGAACAAGCAAACCTTATTAAAACTCAATTTTACTTCCCGCTACTGCTACCATAAAATAAATAAATAGATGAAAACCTTACGAAGCATCTTGGCTGTTGCTGAAAGCGCTGTTTTTGCTTCCAGACAAGTTTACTTGTTCGTAATTCATTAATTAAATGAACATTTGAATCCAAACTCGACTGTGTAAATTCTTACCACTTTTGCAGTTTAAACATGCACTATTGCTTATTTGTGCAGTTCGAACATAGAAAAAAAAATTCAAATAAACAATGCATTACTGGTAAATTTCTTCAGTTCAAACATTGGTACAGAATGAATGACTTTTAAGAATGCATTCAATGTTATTTGTTTACTTTGAAAAAAGGTACGGAAAAACTGTCTTCAAATACTACCCAACTGGCAATTTGTGCAATTTGAACACATGAACTAAAACTGAATAGTTAATTTTGAGCAATGTAGTACTTGTATTTTAAATGCCCGCACACTATACTGGCAATTTGGCCGTTCGTACTTAAAGAGAGGAACTCTGTTCATTTGTGTTTTTTGAATATTTATACAGAATTTTTAACTGTAGTTAATACATTTTTTATTTGCACAGTTCTAACATTGAAAAGAGAATTTCTGATGTGGTGCTGATTTTTACTTTGAACTCGTTCAAAAACCAAGTCATCGGGTTTGTAGGCGGAATGTGCCTATACTGTCATTTGAATATTTCATCATCAAAGAAATTAGGTTTTTAATTAGAAGACCATTCATGTATGATGCTCATTCCTCCTCGAAATTCCCTGAAATTTATGAAAAACAATTACAGGTAAGTGACTTAATCTATTACGTTTCAAAAATTTTCATGTGACTGTTGCGATCGAAATTCAAAGAGCGGGATAATTTTACCTTTCGTAATATATGCACGAGCGGAATGTCAAGCAATTGGTTTCACCAGTACAATAAGTACAGAGGAGAACTCAAGCTCACACCTTGTACTGGCAAACGAAACGGTAATTGTCCGTGCATTTTTGGTCCGCTGGCGCGTAGTTAGGGGAACCATGTAGTCTGGCGCAGGCGTTATCAGTACTATTTTTCAAGCCTCCTCCAGTGGTTACCTTTTTGTCCTTCCAGAACCATTGGCCCTCAATCAGAGTCAAATCGACCCACCAGTCGGTTGTGCCAGGCTTATCTGTAAACGAAGAAAAAGGAACTCAATAATTCATATTCATAAATTTAATGGGAGTGTGCATTCACTAAACATACAATTATATTAAATTTGGGATAGAATTTCGGATTTCATTTCGTTCAATTTCATTCTAATCAATTATATAAGCCTTTGAAGAATGAATTCGTTGGGCTAAAATATAGCACTCGCATTGGTGAATGTAAGGACCGTGTGGAAAAAAGTTCAAAGCTCCACACGAGCTTCAAATATTACATAGGTTAGATAATGCATCCATCGAGCCTAGAATCATGCAGAATGAGCCTAAAAAGTTCATTTTATTCCATAATCTATTTGTACCTCCATTTATTTGCACTTAAAATTTTGTTTTTAGGTAGAAAATAAAGTAGTTTTCATGCTAAAATTTTTGATCTATTTAAACACGTTAAAACTGAACCGAACAAAATTTGTAGTGGTTTCAAACTTCCGTCCTTGTAATTCATAATCCCTGCTTTTCGCATATTTTTGAAACAAATTAGAGTGAAAGTCGTACTGCAGTTTTGCTTAGCGTTTGATTTACCTAATTAATTAACTTCTCAACTCGCCGTGGAGTGTTCTCTTCAACAGGTGCTAGCTAGGGAGAGTTCGAATTAGGCAGGCAGATTGAGTTAGGCAGGGTTTTAATGATTAATGATAAAGAGCCAATTAATTGAAGTAGTTGAAGTGATTGAAGTGATTAATTAAAGTGATTGAAGTGATTAATTAAAGTGATTGAAGTGATTAATTAAAGTGATTGAAGTGATTAATTAAAGTGATCAACAATTATAACTCAAAACTCTGTCGTGGGGCCGCATTGGACTGGTCTTCAGAGGCCCCCGCAAATTTGAAAAAAAAAAAAAACTTCTCAACTCAGACAGCTCTCGAATTATTTCACAAAAGCCATTGAGGCAATAAACATAATTTCTGACTTGAGGTAATGTGGTAACCGGTAGATGATCTTGAAGTAATGTGCCGGCCGGTGTATGATTGCAAATGCACGATGTAAAGGGAGCGTCTCGGTAAAAAAAACTTGTTTATTCACGGACGGGTCACTTTGAAATTTGGTACACATGTGTAAATCAGAAATTTAAGACTTGTTCGTTCATGTAAATTTTTCGAAAAAATGGAAAAAACGCGAAATTCATAGAAAACGCAAAACATGGGGTACTTTAGAAATCTATCTCATCCTAGGATTTTCAAGCTACAACATCGTGATACATATCAATCGATGCTTAAAAACCATATATCCAGCGATTTGTCATAGCTTTTTCAAAATTCATATTTTGTGGGTGGGTGGAGGGGGAATTTTTCGTCCGTTTTTCGATTTCTCCCCCCTCCCCCTCTTTGCAAAAAAAAACAACCATAACTAAATAACCAAAAACTACCACTATTCCCTAGATCTTTTCTTTACAAATCGAATGGTATATCTCTCAATGCGGTAGCTTGCAAATCATAGGAGTAGATGGGGTTTTAAGATTGAAATTTTAACTTTCTAGGAGAGTCAAAAAACTGAAATTTGTGATCATTGAAAGTAAAGGTTTTACTTGCGCTTCGACGGCTTTCGTGAACGGAGAAATGAACGCACAAACATGGCTTTGGGCTCTTTAGATGCGCAATTCCTGGACCTTTAAAACGATACTAAAAACCGGAAAAACAAAAATTTACAATTATCGACCTGAAAGGATCTGTGACAGAATGCTTGAAACCGAACAAGCTGTTTAAGAAACCGATTGCATGAGCGGAGTAAACGTATAGATTCTAATCCTCGACTTCACGTTCACTTTGAACCTAGAAAGAATAATTGAACTGCCTGTTTTTGACTCACTGCTGTTGAGGTAAGCCACGAGATCAGCCATTTGGGCGTCAGAGGATGGATAGGCGAGTACGCTGCCAAATAATTCGCACGAGCTTCTAGCCGTAGCAAAGTTGACTGCATTGGTAGAGAAAAAGTAGCAGAATCTGCCCACAGCTTCAAAGCCTGGCTTGCACGCATCTGGTGGGAGATAAAGAAATTGCTAGCTAAAAAATTACTTACATTTCCACTGAAAATATCCAATGTTAACAATGCTGGGGCGTAATTTTTCTTCGTACTAAAATTTCAAGCAGTAAAGCTTTCATACTCTTGAATTGTAGGCTATTGTGGGCCTCATCGTTTGTAAGTAGAATACAATATATGGGACAGCGGTTTGACAACACCAAAATTTTACACGCCAAAACCTGTTGGAGCTTCGCAATATAATGACAGATAAATTTACTCGGGATGTGTTTTATATTTTCTGACGTATTTAGAAAAAAACGCATAATATTCAACAATTCTCTATATTAAGTAACATTATGTATGAGGGCATATTCAAATTTGGCATATTTTATATGGTCTAAATAGGATAACGACTTTTCTGAAAGAATACTGAAACAAATATTGTATAACAGACAAATAAAAAATACCTCTCTTCTTCATGAAAGTGATGTAGGCTGGGTCTGTGATGAGTAAGTTGGTGAGCACCGAGGCGCGGCTGCTGAAGTTACACTTGGACACGGAAGCCGCCTGAGTGATGGACACCGCCAGGCACCGCGTGTCCACGAAGCACCGATTCCGGCACACGCCTGAGGCAGAATAGCGGATAATTTTACCAAATTCATTGCATTGATTTTACTGTCTCGATTATCCATGCTCCGCTGTAGCCTGTACCGGGATGACTTCGCTACAATTCTTGGAACAAGCTCCAATATCCGCATACAATTCATTTATATAATTATAAATATCCCTTTACGCCCTGGCGTGACGAATTCGTCACACCAGGGACTAGCTACCTTTTCCAACAATTTCACGTTTTTTGTCATTTTTTCGAAAAATTCAGATGAATAAAAAAAGTCTTAGATTTATTTTTTACATATGTGTACCAAGTTTCAAAGTTATCTGTCAGTAAATAACTGAAATATAATTTCCAATTTCCAATGACAATATCCAATTTCTTATGGAAATTCTATTTCGGTTATTTACTAACAGATAACTTTGAAACTTGGTACATATATGTAAAAGATAAATCTAAGACTTTTTTGTTCGTTGGAATTTTTCGAAAAAAGTGAAAGAAAACGTGAAATTCTTAGAAAACCGCCAAAAGGGGGTACTGTAGAAATCTATCTCCTCCTATGATTTTTAAGCTACAACATCGAGACGCATATCATTCGGTGCGTTAGGACCATATCTATCGATTGGTCCTTGCTGTTTTTCGAAATTCTAATTTTTGTGGGTGGGGTGGGCATTTTTCGAAAAAAAAAATTATTTCTCCCCCCACCCTTTCGAATTTCCCCTCCCCTTTTCTCAAAATATTTTCAAAACTTTAACGAAATTGAAAAAAAGCTTCGACCAATCTCTAGATCTTTTATTTGCGAATCGAACGGTTTATTACTCATTGCTGTAGCTTAAAAACTCTGGGAGGAAATAGGTTTGCAGTGACAATAAGTGTGAATGTTCAGTAAGTTGCATATTTATGTGCCCAACCAGTAATTTTCGCCTATATTAAATGTGAAAGAACTCCCCCACCCCTAACACTTTCACGAACTGTCGTCAAGGCGTAAGTCAACGTACAGAGATGATTTTGGTACCATTGGATTGGTCAGAATGTCAGCTTCGAAGTGAGACTTAAAACCGAAAAAGTGAATTTTACGATTTTTGTCCCAGAAAAAGGGACAAAAATCGTAAAGGGATATATATCATTAATACATGCATAAAAATTTATGAATTAGCATGCATATAAAGACAACTGAAAAAATTTCGTAACAAATCAACTGTTTAGCAATTCATCAGAGGGACTAATTAATCATTTTCCAAGCGATTATACTTTATCTGCATAAATTAATGAAGCCAATTATGATCGTTGCAGCTCCCATGCTCAGTAAGCACTTAGCTACATTTCATATTGAATTCAACTTAAATAGCACAACGTTTAAAAACGAAGTGTTCGATCATTATGTCGTGTATAAACGAGTTACATCTATACGCTATATAATTTTATAATTTTCACCCCTCAAAATGAAAAACACTCAATTTGAATAAGGCCCTATATTTGGGCCAGCCTTCAACTGCAATATCCCTACTTTGTAGCAACTTCTATTACGTTTTCTTACGAATATTATGCATTAGAATATTACTATGATAAAAATAATATTTTATTTGTGCGAATCCAAGTAAAAAAACTTTAATCACTTCAATCTCTTCATCTAGCTCCCGCCCATCCGTTAAAATAAAAAATACATGTAGCTCGAATGAGATTATCACTTAACAGAATAAGATCATATGTTAAAATATTATTAACATTCCAATGAAATTATTATCCATAAAATTATAATGAAAGTGACGTTAAATGATGCGGGAGAATCAGTTTAAAAAAATCGTTTTCTAAACTTTCTGCGTTGATTAAAAGTAAATCTAATCATGTGATTCGTTTTGTCGTAAAAACATTACTACACTTTTTCCCGACCTCGATGACTTTTACGCTCGGATGGTCGCAGATATAGTTGAATTAGATGTGTGAGTTTCATGTATAGTTACCTTCTAAATTTTAGAGATTAAAAATACCTATATTGTTTGAGAGAACAAAAAATTAGCTGAGAGACTCACATGCGCTCGGTGCCTCCAGGTAAGACGTGTTCCAAGCCGGCGCGATCTTTGCGTCGGTGTAGAGCGTCATTGCGCTCGCCTGAACGGCGCTGAAACTGCTGGCGAACACAGCGCAGAAGAACATGACTCTTCCTTTGATCATTCACAGCGATTGGTCGTTGGTATCTGAATTCCTAGAAAAATTCATGGAAACGAAATCAGAATCGCTGAAAAGTAAATTTACTTCTACCGTATTTCTGAGTTCGGCAGTGTAAACCTAAGCATTTATATTTGACACCTGCATAAATATTCTTCTACTACGTTAAAAATTTTTCTAAAATCTTCATAAGTTCGAGATTCGACAACGAATCATGAATTTCCAGTTCTCTATATGGTCGAATATTTGAGTTTGGCAGCGAATGACAAGGACATTTCGACAGAGAATGTACCACTTATCTTTGCGCGTAGTACAGATACACTGCCACACCAGGGGCCGGATTATCAAAACTTCGTAACTTTTTGTACTTACGACAAAAATGTTCTGTTGTACGTAAATACACCCTAATTTTGGCATTATCAAAACTTTCGTACGCAAGTCTTAGCTAAAAGCCTAAATTTTTCCCCGCGCAAATTTTTATCGCGCAAATGTTTTTATAATGCCACCGCTAGTATTACGTTGTCATAGCAACGCCACTCGTAAGTCGATTTTGCGTACTTACGAAGTTTTGATAATACGGCCCCAGTGCAGTACAGATACACCAGGCAGTGCAGACACTGCCTGGTGAGATGCGATAATAATCAAAGCGTCCAACAGCTGATGTGACTCGATTGCGATCTCGCATGCATGCCACAGCGGTTTAAATCTTTCCAGAAGTCAATTTAGTATGATATTGATTTGAGGTTTCGTCTTTATTATATTCTCGTCAAAACGACTTCCAGATGAACGATAAATCACAATAGCCAGCACCGAGCATTGGAAATTAGGAGAATTTGTTGATCTTCAGCAAATAATGGGGATGAATAAAAGTTTTTTTTTTCAAACAAGGATTTGCAATATGTTTAACAAGGGATAAACAGTAATACAAAGAAATTGGCATTATTCTGCGCAAAATTATTAATAACTTTGAACAATGTTTGAACTGTGAACAAATAATTTTCTGTATGTGTCTCACAGCTGAATTACAGAACGGTAAAATGTACAGCTTGTGTCAAATCCAGCACGTTTGTTTAAGTTGTCCCTCGTTTAACAGCGCTTCGCCCAAACATCGGCTGCACTACTGCAGCCCATAACCAGAAATCAACCAGGAAATAACGTTGTTTAGATGCCAGATGCCTGTTGGGAAGTGATTCAAATCTATTTTGAATATGAGTCATTCTTAGGTATTCACTTGTAATTTCAGTTGCTAAATTTACTTACTTACATTATAAGAATGACAGGCAAGCAATTTATGTTCTTCGTACTTTATATGAAACAAATTAAAATATTGAAATAAGAAGAAAACTTATTTTATGGGACCGCTTCAGTATTTTTTACTCACATGAGTAAAGGGCTGTAAAATAACTGATCTTCTGTATGTTATGTATATAACCGTGCGAGTGTATGATGGAATGTCAGCGATTTGTTCCATGTAACAAAACTATTCAAACATCACGATAGCTTATATCATAACTGTCCGAAACTCATGAAACTAATTAGATTTTAACGATTTTTGAGTTGTATTTGAAATTTTGTAGACGCAAAACCCAAACATTAGTATCATGTTACAACTGGAAATTTCCTGTGATATTCTATAAGTCTCCCAGTCTCCGTTAAGCCGTGGTCGAGAGCGGACGCTCGTGCTCGTGGTCCCAAATTTCTAAATTTTTAACTTTTTACTGTGCCGTTTTCGGAACTCTTTTCGCATTTATTTATGATCCGTGCCAGAGAATAACCGAATTTCAGTTCAGTTCAGTGAAGTCAGTAAAAGTGCTGTCTCTTATACACATCTGAACATATTTTACAGCTCTGATCCGGCCAAATGTTTCGGAAACGTGAAGCCCATTTGTACGTGAGGGAGAATATGGAAACGTGAAAGAAAAAGCACATCGTTTCGTCATTCTCGCCGACTATCCTACTTGTGCTTCTATCTATT